TTGGGGAAAAGTGTTAACATTTGTTTCTCATCTGTGAAGTGAATGCAACCAACATTGCTATTGTTTCTTCTCCAGTTTTGCTTAATCTAGTTACTGTTGTCTGAAAAATAAGTTGTCTAATCTAATAGGCCAAACACACCCTATGATGAGAACCAATAAATGCCTTAAAGAGAACAGATATTTTCCTCACTCTTCAAGTGCAAAGCTGGAGTCAACTTAACCTTGCTAGATTTTGACAGTCTATTCTAGGATTTTCCTTTCTTTGTATGGGATGATGTAAACCTAGTTTCACTGACGGATAGACAAACCTCTTTAAAAAATTTCTTCAATATTACTCCCAGAGTAGAGCTTCAAAGTTCAGTATTTCTCACTAATCAGGCAAGGTTTTAGTTAAAGAATGAGCCACTGAAACTAGAATGCATGGAGGACTCCCCTTTTAGCTTCAAACTTCAGCGTTCCTACTAATCTGGGAAGGTTTTAGATAAAAAATAAGTCTCTGACACTGGAATGGACGAAGGAGCCCCTTTTTTACCTTGAAAACAAAGTATTTTTATTCAAAATGTCTTAACATGTAGAAAACAAACATTAGTTCTGTAAAGAAATTTCTGGTGAGCTATTGTGCTCACAACTCTGTAGAAAACTTGGTGATGTAGAAGCATTAGTGATTGAGGTCAAGGCATTTCCTCCAAAGAAAAAAAAAGTTTAAAGCCAAAGTGCCAAACTGTGCACAAAAACATGCTAGAGAGAGTGATTATAAATAACTGATTATATTGCTGCTATCTCCATTTTTTCTTCAGTTTCTCTATCTAATGATGCCATCAATAATGTTTCTTATCCAAGACTCTTCTTTTGTGTTAACAATTGTTGCATGTATATTGTTCAAAAGAATTTGTGATTAAACAGATAGCTTGCATGGTAACAGGATTGCCAACTGAATTATTTCCAGGAACAAAGGCATGATTTGCATGCAACGTAGTAATATCAAATTAATACTGTGCCTTCCAAGCACTTTATTTTTGCTTGTATTTTGATTGTTTTAGCATATTTTCTTGGGCAGTTCAAGTCTTGTTATTCCCTCAGATGTGGTTTCTTCTGGGGTCTGTTTGAAGGATTTATTCTTCGAGTAACCTTCATAATTTTATTCTTTAAAATTCCAGTTCTAACACGAACTCTATGGTTTATCTGACCTGCCTCCTAAATTGCCAACAGATTGGCAGAGAAAGGACGCCTAATATTTCCTGTGGTTGCAAATGTCGAGCTTCTTGTTGTCACTTATTTACAAGTTCGGTTTGGAGTGACTTCACTGCTCTCAACTTGGATGTAGAAGTCTTCTGCAAGAATGGATTTAGGATTTTAGATAACTATGTCTAAAAGAAAATAGGAGAAAGATCATGCCAGGTAATATGGAATATAATTCAATTGAGGATTATAGACTCTTCCATCTGTGTATTTGATTACATACAAGAAAATACGGGCCCTAGCTAGTCGATGTAAATAAATATCTGGAACTGTTTGCTGAAGGATGCGAACTTTTTGGTAAAATGGAGCGGTGGTTGAAGGGACTCAAAGCACTTCTAAACCTACCTCTGCTCTATGTATAGACAGATAACAAATGATGATTCTTAGAAAGAAGACGTGCTCTTTGGTGAACAAGAAGAAAAACAGACAGTGGATTCATTTTCTATTTCTCGTGAGCCTGGAAATAAACATGACGATGTTCTATGATGCAGAATCTGAATTCAATGCGAACAGAAACTAAAGTCAAGATTCTTTTAGTCACAAGGGTTAACATCCTTAAGTTCTGGCGGGAAATAAAAGATCTTCACGTTAAAAAGAAAAAGGAGCAGAAAAAAATGAGCAGTACTGAGCGAATGATTATTCGGTAGGACATGTTTTAAAATAAGAATTTACTATGGGAGTGACACATGTCGGGCTGAATATGTCATTGCTTATTGTTTCTAAAACGAAAAATGTTATAAATGCCTTTACAATTCAAGTTTCCCATTTTAAATTTTGCATAAGTTTGTCATTTTTTATTACTCTGATTATTTTTTATTTTTAAAAAATATGAAAAAATAAAATAGAAAAAAAGACAAAAATAGATCTTAAAAAATTTTGGAGAAAGGTTTTCTTTTTTTAATTTTTAATTAGAAAAAGAAAAAAAACTGGAAAAAGAGAGGGAGGAATTGCACAATTTTATTTCATCTTCGTCTTCTACGAGTTTATCTCCTCCCCCTTCTTCTCCGGGACCCAAAACAGAATCCCACCTGAATGCGGTCTTCCGTTCTCCGAGGTTGCTCGTTCCGCACTCAAAGCCCTGCCTTGCCTCGAACATGTTTCTCTCCGCCACAGCGCAAGTTGGTCCTTCCCAGATTGTAGACGCTTGGCCGTCACCGGATAATCGTTGCTTCTTTACCCAGCCAACCCCAAACCCGATTGCAAGCAACTGTAAATCCGTCCTCCTTTATCTTTGTTTTTTTGCACATCTGCGTGCGTGCATACTGTCAAGTTCGGGTTCATGTTCATTTGTTCTTTTTGCTCAGCCATAGACGTGGCTCATATTGTTAACTTTATGGGATTTAGTTTACTGAACGCGTAGTTGCTGACTCGATCGGATTAAATGCTTGGTTGATAAGTTTCTTAAGGCAAGATTGTAATTTTATTTGTGAGAATTGGTAGATATTTGGCAATTAGCACGCAAATGTTAGTATGTTAAAATTCAATTGAGAAGCTGTATCCATGTATTATTGTAGGACCAAGTATAACACTGATTTAGTCAGCAAATCATTTTCAAAACAGAAGTATTTTATGCATCAAGCGGGAAGCATATTAAAAAACAAATTGCAGACACAATTTGGATAGCACTAAAAAAACTGATTATCATGCGCAAGATACTATTGAATGCTGCTGTTGATCGACATAAAACTAAAAGAAAAAAGTTCCAACTATACGTACATAATTCCTTGGTGTTTATTAATTTAAAACTTATGTTTCTTTATGTACATATGTTATAATATTACTCTGCCAGAATGTAAAAATTGTAAATCAAAAAAAGTTTTATTTTTCACTTACTCAAATTTGAGCACAAGTGACCGCTAGATGAAAAGCAAATATCATGAATCATTAACATGGAACACTTGAGACATATACTCCCTTAATTTTTTCATCTTCGTCTATTTCTAATAAAATTAAAAATGGGAAATGTGAAAAAAATAAATATATATATATAGATGCATGCAGCCTCTGGCTGTTGAGTGAAAACTTTTCACTTATGTAGGCATTTTATTTAATAACAACATAAATTTTAATTTTTAAAAAAAGTAAGAATATTTATCCAATCAAATTTATAAAAATTATCCCAATGATAAAACATAGTTAAATTATTCAAATTGGTCCATGATTTTTTAACAGAATTTTGCCCCAAAACCTTTCTATTGTATATTTAAATAGTATATACTTCCCATTTATAACAATTTACTCTTCCCAATTAATTTGATACATGCATCCTATCATTTACATTATACTTACATTACATTTTTGGTGCGCAGACACATAAATAGAACAATATATCGCGATTAGAAAAGATAAACAATTAATTTAACGTTATTATTGTTAAATTCATATTCATCCTTTATTTTTATACCTTTTGCGTTATATTTACATTATATTTTTGGTGCGAAGACACATAAAATAAAATAGAAAAATATATCGTGATTAGGAAAAATAGAAAATTACAAACCAAAGCAAGTATTTAACAGCTTTCTTTTACCTGTGTATTTCTAAAAGAGATTGAATTTTTTTTCTCTGAATTATTACTTAATTTATATTATAATCATTATTTTAAATGAGTTTGTTAATTTAATTTCCAGGGAAACAAAAGAATTCATATAGAGTGGCAATAAAAAAAAAAACAAATTTTCCCCAGTTAATATACAATGCACAGACACACTACAGCTAAAATCACCATATACGGTCAACTTTTCTTTTTTCTATCCAAGAAACCTCACCCACCCCGAAGCCTGTCTTCATTTTAAAAGTCCCATGAACCTCTCCTCTTAAAAACCCATTTAGCCCCTTCTCTCAATCATCTCTTCACTTCTCTTGTTCTTTTAGGGATAATCTTCAAGCTGTTACATGTAATGGATTCTCAAAATCCTGAACACATTCAATTGATATTATCAGTCACTTTGCCTTCTAATACTCCAGTGGTGGGATGCGAGATCGTCCCACGCGTTTGTTTCGAGACTCAACCCCGATCACTTTTCGGAGATATTCAACGTTCTATCCGTTTTTCTTGGTCCGTAAATTTATTTAGTTATTTATCTGTGATTTATTGATCGTCTTCTTTAACTGTCCATCTATACGTTATTTTTAATGTTTTTATATGTATTTATATTTTTCAATACTCATGTGTTTATTTATGTACAGTAAACATGTATCTGTTTATTTTTAGATTTTTTATTTATTTGATGACTTAAGTATTCTTCAAACTCTAGTTCATACTATACCGAACTAAATCAAATAGAATGGTCGGACTCTCGATCTTAACTTTAAAGAATAAAAAATTAATTAATATGAATCTCGATCTAATTTGATCTTTAGTACGGATCTCTACTCTAATTGTTTTCTAGTATGATTTTACTCTCGAACCAATAAACAACCTAAACAACACTAAAAAAAATATAAAGAATTGAAAAATAAGATTAATAACTAATCTATGTAGGATTTATCTATCTTTGAGAACATATTTCTGTTTGCATTTTGATTATAAATTTATGTATCTATGTACATTCATGTACATACATAGATTAACTAGTATCAATGAAGGAAGTGAAAGATTTATGATCAATCACTATACATGATTGATATATCTATAACTATTGTTTGTTTATTTTGTTGTATATCTAGACATTATATGTTAATTTGTATTTGTATGTCTTTGGTTTCAACAAGAAAACATAAGAAAATATTTTTTTTGATACAGCATGATACATATATGAATATATAAAGAAGTTGTAGAAGACAAAGTGGGAATTAGTTCTTTAACATGAAAGAAAGTAGGAATATTGATTAGGGTAGTGAAGCATATTTTGTAGTATTTAAGATACTAACTTATTGTATCTCTTCATTTATTCCATTGCAAGAGTATTTAAGAAAAATTTAAAGTACTTATGATCTGAAAATTTTTATAATCCCTCTAATAGACACGTTTTTCTTTTCCTTTTTCTAAAAAAAAAAAAAAGTAAACAAAAAATAGACTTCAAAAATTACAAATACAAAAATATTGAATTAGACATGCAATTATATTTATAGGATTATTTAAATTCATCTACAGTTCTCCAACGTCTCATAATTATTCATTATTTAAAATCATAAATCATGAATTTTCTCACTAAAAAAATAGTAGCAAGTAAAAGAAATTTGTAATGCTCGTAAGTTATCTACCTGGGTTTGTATCTTTGACCAGAAATTCTGTTATGTGATATCAGATGTTTCCGTGTATAATAGATTATTGATAAACAGTCAATTAAATTTTTCTGATATTGTCTTCTTCTATTTGTCTAATCTGGCCTATATATATATATATATGTATAGGTACCGGGAGTGTGTTACTTGTTGTGTTCATCCTCGTAAACTGGCTACTGTTCAATGCATAGCATGTGCTAAACTGAATCTCTCGGCGAAGGATTCATACCATTGCTCTCCAAAGTGCCTCTCTGATTCATGGCAAAACCATGTGGAACGTCACCATCTGGCAGCGGAGACCGCCGCCAACGACCCGGCAAATGCTAGCGAGCAAGATCCGATACCTGAAAGCTGTGAGATGTGGACCCAAATTGGCAAATCCCCGGCCACGTTAATCGGTGAGAATCCAGAGGTGGTGGAAGGAGAAGCAGACGACAGAAAATGGGTTAAGATCGGGTCATCAAAAATTTATGAACCCACGAGAGATGATTTTGGTTTGTGTTTAAGGCTTGTAACTTTAGCCATTGACAGCTCGAGTTGCGCTTATCTGTGTGCGACGGTGATTTCGGTGACGAAGCCTGTGATTAACTTTCCTGCTCGTGTTCATCGCAACATGATCCAATTGGGAACCACTCAGCAGATATCTTCTAATGACTTTGGATTTAGTGTTCTATCATATAATATCCTTTCTGATATCTTTACTAATAGAGGTGCGTACGGACACTGCCCTAAATGGGCCCTTGTCTGGCAATACCGCCGGAAGAATTTGCTCGAGGAAATCATTGCCTATGATGCCGATATTCTGTGTCTCCAGGAGGTGATTAATTTCTTACGTACTTTTCCGATGATTATTAAAATATAAACAACTAATTGGGATTTCCAATTTTTAGCCTATGTAATATCGTTTCTTCTTGGTTAAAACAGGTACAGAGTGATCACTTTGAAAATTTCTTCCAGCCTGAGCTTGCCAAAGTTGGTTACTCTGCTGCATTCAAGAAAAAGGCCGGAGAGGTATTATGTATATTTAATGCTTTATTTGAGCTCACAGTCACAATTGGGTTTGTGTTGTATATATAAATTGTGTTGCAGGTGTGTGTGGGAAACGACTTATTTGCAGCTGATGGGTGTGCAACATTCTACCGTCATGATATGTTCAAAGAAATTATGAGAGATGAGGTGAAGAATACCAAAATCTATATTGAAAAACAAATCTGTATATTATTATAAAAGTTGCTGATGCTTCTCTTCTACTGCTTCCAGCTTGAGTATGCTAAGGCAGCACGACCTCTCGTGGAAGTTTTGCAACCTGAATTCCAAGATATAGTCGCGCGTCGGCTGAACAAGGCATTAGTTGCTTAATCAGATTCAATAATACAATATATATACTTAATTCGTACTTGAAAATGAAACGACGTGTCAGAATATAAATAATAGAATTAATCATTTCATACCAGTTTCTTCTTTTCTTCCATATCCAACCTAGCTTCACCCGTTAGTCTTTTCTAATTTTATCTTTTCAAAAAATCTTTGATTTTTGCAGGACAATGTTGCGCTTGTTGTTATACTGGAATCAGTGGAAAGAGAAAGGTCTGAGAACGAGTTTCCACCTCGAATTTGCGTGGTATGATCAATGGTGTATTTTCAAATTCTAGAGCTTAATACAACCAAGTCTAGGAGCTCTGACATTGAATTTCTTGTTACCTATATAGGCAAATACACATATATGTGCAGGTGCCCACACTCCTGATGTCAAATTACTTCAGGTTCATTTGTCCTAATTTGCTTCTTCTATTTTATTTTCGAAGAAATTTTTGAAAGTAACTAACTTTAGTGTTTTCTCCTGTTGTTAAGATTACGAAGCTAGTCGATGGACTGGAAAGGATTGCAGAGGCAAAAGTTCCTATACTGCTTTGTGGGGATTTCAACGTTCTTCCCACCAGGTTTGTCTTCTGCTTTGACTAATAGAAACTGGCTTCTTCAGTTTGTTTCTTAGTGGTTTTGAATTTTATTACAAAAGCCCATTACACTGACACGACTACGTAAATTTTTAGGGTCTGTACATATATATATACACACACACACACATATATAAATTCTGTCAATTATAAATGCTTGGTGTTTGTAAATTACACACTATGCATATATTTTTACTTACAGAGCTCTGCTCCTGTATGCAGTAACGCTTATGCATATCTAAGTAAAGGTAGGATTAATCCTCTCAACACCAGAGAACCTGATCCCTTGAGGCTATTGCGTTTTCTCAAGCTTACCCATTCCCTTTCTCTGGTAAACATATTCTTTTTCTGCAATTAGAAATCTAATGAAGCATTTATTTTATCTTTGCGAGAATAATTTCTAGGATGCATTTCTTATCCCCTTGTGGAAAAATGAAAATTGATGGAACTATTCCGTACCCCATTTTTGTGATTCCACCACGAACGCAGTCCGTCATGATAATCAGCTTTGCTAATGCAGGAAAACTTCTTTTTGCAGGCGAGCGCTTATGCTTCTCTTGCTCCTAATACAAGTGTTGAGGAAACCCAGCTGAGGAGGATGTTGGACTGTGAACCCATTTTCACTAACTTCACGCCAAATTTCCTTGGGACTCTAGATTATATTTTCTACACAGGTAATCTTGGTAGAGTAGCACTCATCACTGATTCAACTTATGAAATATTGGGACTGGTTTTGTCATATACCATTATTGCAAAATTTAATAAAAAAAAGTTTTAACATACATCCTTAAACTGGGGCCTCAATAAGGTGGCGTGTGATCAATTGATGAGTTTTAATAGATCAGCATTGAATAAAATTAATGGCTCGGACAAATCATTATTCAGAATTAGCAAGAGTATATCTAAATCAAAAGAGTTCTCACTTGAACCCTTTTGATGTGTCAAAATAATTATGAATTTGTAGGCTTTTTAGCAGCTCAATTTGTGGTACTTATTGGATAGATTTTCCTTCTGCAATAACAAAATGCCTGTAGCATATGCCAACATTCAAATTTAATTATTGCAATGGCTTTTTCCCTGTGTTGTTCTGGCTTAAATATTGTCATTGGCGCCTGTTGTTAGAAGTCCTTGCTATCAGAAATACATCTGCAAGTATTAACGAATTTACTCAACTTTGTTTGTGATACTGAGTTTAAGTTGTTTTTTCCTATACAGCAAACTGCTTCATGGTTGAAGGTCTACTGGAACTTCTCGACCAGGAGAGCTTGGGACGTGGTCTTCCATCACCAATATGGTCATCAGACCATATTGCCATCATGGCTAAGTTCCGATTCAAGCTTCCCTCATCCTGGAAAGAATCTCCACCTCATACTCCTTCCAAAATATGGTTCACAGAAGAGTAATGCTAGACGAAACTCCACAAAAGAGAGATTCAAAATGAAAAGGAGAGTCATCATTCCTACTATAAACATCCATCTTGTAACATAGGGAAATAAAGTTCATTGTTTTAAGTTCTAAATCTAATGCCAATAGGACATGCATATTTAGCCAGAAACACAGGAAAACAGTTATCAGGTGGACATCTTACAACAGCCTCTATCTATTCGTTTTAATGTGTCAAATCGTAGATCTGTCTATGCTTGACAACTAAAGTACACTACCATTCATTTGATATATTCAATGCTCATCTTTACAGTCTCTAAACTATTATACATGTACCAAAATGGCAGCCACATAGGAACTGCGAAGACAGACCAAATCTGCTCATTTATAGATCCAGCAAGCAAAGTGGAATACAGCAAAAATTGAGAAAACAACAAACCTGGATGGAATAAATAGATTCCTTCTTTTAGGGTATTTTGGAAAGTGAATGAAACAAATTACATGCATTAGTTTCATTGTTATAATAAAGCAATCCACAATCCATGCATAAAATATAGAGTAAACAACAAGCAAGGATGAAATGCATGCCAAAAGGACATAAAGCAGGGTGAGGGAAGATTTATACAAAAATCAGAAACCCAAACACAGGAAAAAAAAACCCATATAAGTAGGATTGTGGGAACATGCATTCTAGAATACAGATGGTTTATATGACATGCTGTTTTGGGGCATCCAGAAACTATCACCACATTAAAATTTTGGCTCAAACACTTAAATTTGGCATCATGATTCGCAATTCCCAATCTCTTTATCCAATAATCTCAGCCAAGAAAAATGAACCATCAGCAAAAGCCAAAAATCTACTCCAAGGAACAATTAAAGAGTATGAATAGAACATTAAAAAGGATTTCACAGACTTTACCCTGTCCATTTTACCCCATCATACACTTCATCATCAATTCTCACCAAGTCAAGAGGTTTCTATTCTATTTATCAGTTAATTCGTATTTATTAACGCTTCATATAATCTCAAACGGGGATCATGCTTTAAAGAGAAAATTTACAACAGTGAATTACAAACAGAAGCCTTTTCAGGGAGTCCTACTCAAGCAGTATTGATTTTACGGATTTTACATTCATTCTCAGGTATACATAACAATCTAAGACATATGCTTTGCAATCCGTTAAAGCAGCTTCATGCTTTTTACATTGCACAAAAACTCCTTCTGTACGTGGTAAAAAGTGCTCATCCTACATCATGCTGTCATCATATTCGAGTGAAGAAATTTCCACTAAGCGCAAATCAAGAAAGTTTTCCAGAATTTACCTAAGAGGCCCAGATTGGAAATCCTCTATTAATATAGACTTTGTAACTTCCTTTGTTTTCTCCTTTGTTCTCCTTCGGCTCTCAACAAAAGCCCTTCATCAATCATCACCAACGCCACTGAAGTATCCTCTCCTGCCTCTGGTTTTCTCTTCCATCTGAAAAAATGAGAACCAAAATAAACCCTGAAATGTCGTTTTGTGGAAGGAGAAATAGGAGACTGAAACGGTACCGTTTGACTCTTTATAGGCTGGGCTGCATTTTTATTTGGGCCGAGTTTTGCACAAGGCTTGGGCTAGGTTTTTTTTTACAGAATAAGTTTTGATAACAAATGGGCTGGATTCAATTTGAGTAATATATTAAGTTCGGTTTAATTAAAATAATATCAAAAAGAAAAAATAAACCGAATGTCAAAATAATATCAAAAATAATCACAACGTCAACCAATTGTAGTAAGATTAAATAGTTTTGTTCAAATATTTTTTTTGCCCCTTCATAAAATTATTATTATAATAATAATTATTATTAATAGAAGTAATAGTAGAATTAATAATTATAAAACTGAAGGATGACAATGATAGAGGAAGCAACCCGCTTAAAAATACTTTTGCAAATATAAAAAAAAGAAAGAAGAAGGAAGAAGATTTTTATAGTCATAAAAAGAAGTGTTAGGTGATTAGCATCAATAGTTGGGTCCATCTTCCAACCTGTTTTATCTAAAACCCCTTACTCTCAACTATTGTTGCGAGTTGGATTAATTCCAGATCTGACTGGGTTTTTATTCTAAAATAAATTGAAGTATATATGTCTTTTTTTAATTTCGTGCATGAAGAAGTCATGGTAGTTAAATTTAATAATGTGGGTGTTAATTGTAAGGGAATGGGATGAGACAAAATGGTGGAGTCACAGTTTATTGTACCAACAGTTCACAGATTACTCGTGGGGGTGGGAGAGCCATGACTACAACCAGTGTTGGTCGATACAAAAATATTTTTCTCTTCCGTGCCTCTGTCTTCATGATACTAACAATTGGCGGGGATCATATGAATCCGGCACTATGGTAAGCTGACAGACACTACCTTCTTGCATGTAAGAGATTGGAGACAATAATCAGATGTGGGATCAGCAAAGAGATCAAATTAATGCAGGACATCAAATCCTAATTCTTCTTTTTTTTTTTTTAGATAAATTCTTGGATCATATAAGCAGTTGGATTGAAAGGTGTATAATTTATATAATGGCTGAGGCTCAAGTACTCTGCCGGACTAAATACCCTGTCACACGCCATTGAGAGCTCTGACAAAATCAATCACTTCATCCATATTTGTTTTCTCAAGAGTACTGTCTATTAAAATCAAGCTCAGTTCAGCTCAGTCCCTGAAACTTGTTTATTGTAATATACATCATCCTGAAAATGAAATTTATGAATGCAACAGTCACTACCTACGTATACATTCTACATATGTACGTATTCATGCATACTCGGTGTTTCTGGAGATTTTGGATTTTTCTGATCGTACCATTAATTAAAAAACCCAAACTGGAGAAGAATCAATCAATTAAATGATTAAACCCCGTCATTTCAGGCATCATGATACATTACAAAAGCCAACATGAAAAACATTTATCTACAGTTCTTTATTTTCAAAAGGGCTAAGAAGTATATCCAAGTAAGATCTCTTTCTAGTTAAGTCCACACTGAACCAAACATGGCGCCATGAAAGGATCGTTTATACCTCTATTAGCGTTAGGTCTCTGTCTCTCTATAAAGCAGCCGATCTATCGTTAAAGGGGTAGAAGAAGAACAACAATTCGAGTAAGACACTCGATTCTTAGACTACACTAATATATATATATATATATATAGTTTTAGAAGACGAAAAATAACAATTAAAGACGCTTTTAATTTGCACATGTTGATACTTCTTCATTCACAATAAACCTGAAGCTGGCCATTCCTTTTTTTTTTTTTTTTTGCTGAATTTGATTCAATCCTTTACTACTACCCAGGTAGCTAGCACAAGAGACCCAGCCTTTGCTTGAATAAATTTGCAGGCTTTTGATCTGGTGGGTGCATGAATTTGCAGTTTGGGCATGAAGGCGACGACTTGCAGAGCATCACCAGCATATGGCATCGCATGCAGACTGTTGCGACCATCTCTTGCTGCTGCTGTTCTCCATCAAACGCCAACCAAGAAGGGCAACGATTTATCATCCCTGACTCCGTATTCTTCTTATCATTTACGCTTGAATCCACGAAAAGAAGATCACCTGATGGAGAATTACGCTGCGGTAATTCATTTTTCGCGTTGGTTTTCTTAACTGAATGATCGCACGGTAGAAGATTCAGCTCAAGGTCAAGGCTCATGTGACGGCTAGGACTCGGTGGCTCAGGACTGCTGCAGCTCCTTGGATCCCTTGATGTTCTCTTCTGAGTTCTTGTATTGTAGAAATGTATCTGCCCTGACTGCACCCACCAAATCATCTTTAATTAAACGACAAAACATAGATTAAATTCCTAAATTCAAGATCACCTTAAAATCACATAACCGATGTAGGATCAAAGATATATATGTATTTACCTGAATATCGAGACATCTTTGCCACTCCAAAGGTAAGGGAGTCTCGAGGTGTAACTCGATGTCGAAAGGTGACTTGGGTGTGTCTGTATTTGATCGTTTGTGGAAAGTTTCTTCAACGTGTGGCTCTTGCCATTTTCTCTTTTTCGATAAATCCTCAAAATCTAGCACTGTCTTTCTCCTGGTTGGAGACAGGGAGGCTTGAAAAGAAACCATAGATATAGCTTCTTCAACCCAACGATCACTTTGCTATTCCCTCTCTCTCTCTCTCTCTCTCTCTCTCTCTGTCCTTTAGAAATAGAGAGATGGTTAGGAGGATTATATAGGCAGAGGCTTGTGCTATATATATGTGCGTGTGTGTATATGTTGATATATATAACTGCAAGGGAAGAATCTAAGTAAGGCAGATATGAAGGTAGAAAACTAAAAAATAAGGGGCCTAGTTAAGTATGACGTGCAATCCAAGTTGGCTCTTCAATTACTGGTATATATATATAATATATATACATTAGATATACACAAGAGTGCAACAGGATGCAGCAGCTCCAAGCTGGTGGGTTATAAAAGCCAAGATGTGAAATTATAACCAACTCAACCTCCCCTTTGGTCAAATACGCACGCACCTGATCTTGATGGCTCCAAAAGTACCCAACACACATCTGTATAATATTAATAATCTTAATTATGCTTACGTCCCATTACATAATCAAAGTCTGAAATTCTTGAAGGCATACGTGACCATATTAATGTCTGGTAAATTTCATAATGTTATTAATGCACGGTCTCAATGTCAAAAAAAAAAAAAAAAAATTAGTCTATACCTTCTTTTAAAGAATATATATTAGAAAGTTTGAGCTCACAACATTCTTCGCATATACTCTTTTAACTTTTTTATGCCATATAGATTTTGATATTTAAACTATACTATTATCGCTATAATATTATTTAATTATTTTTTTTATTTATTAAAATTTAAATTCAAATCAAGTTAAAGCAAGTTCAGAATTAGTTTTTTAAAACTTATATAAATTTAACCCTTTATAACTATATATATATATATCTGATGCAGTCCAAAAAAATTGGGAAAAGAAAATGTTGTGATCCCCATTCGTTAACTATAAAAGGTTATGCATCAAATGCACGGTCAATCAAATTGAAAATTAAATATCTTTTTTATATTTTCAACAAATTATGTTTAATTATTTTACATGTCTTAAAAGATGTTTGACGTTGTTTAAATAAATGTACTTGTAAGACATTGTGGTGCTTTAATAATCTACCAACCACTCTTTAAAATTTGTGAGATTGAAACAAATATATATATATATATATATAATATATTAATTTTAATTATAAAATAAGCAATCCGGAACACTATTTAATTTAATTCAAAGAGTAGAATTCTAAATCCGGTAATTGACTAAGTGCGCTTTTAAAATTGTTCAAAAATATCGATACATTAAAATCAATACCAAAATGTCATGATAGTTTGTGATATAATTTATTAGGAAAATGGTTGGAAAACTTAATTTGAAGACATTTAAGTAAAAATACAAGTTTTTTTTAATGATTTACCATGAATGATGCATATAGATATAATGAGATTTGTATAGATTAGATTAATAGATGTTATTAGCCAAGCCAGAAAGCCAAGAGAGGCAAATTAGGTTTAGGGGGGGTGGTACTAGTTATGAGAGGCGGTGAGAGGACAATAAATGACAAGAGTGAGAGTACAGTTGAAGGAAGGTTTCGAATGGCTATGGATCTTTAATAACATAATAACTCCAGCTTCCACAATTGGGTCACTCAAAGAACTACTGAACTTTTAAAGCTCTCAACACCCCCTTCATAAAAAATTAAAACACACACACATATATATATATATATATATATATACATGTCTCTCATCAATATATCCATGACCAAATTTAATTTAAATTCACTCAAAGGCTTTTGAAGCTATCAACAAACTCTCCCCTCGGCCATAAAAACAACTAATATCCCATGAGCTCAAATTTAATAATATCTTCTCTTCTCCCTCTTATTTATTTCTTTTCTTTTCTTTAAAAAAAAAAAAAAAAAAAATCATATCTTTCAACTGCTCTTCACGTACCAAAATACCAACTTCCTCCTTCCTCCATCTTCTTTTTCCTTCTAGTGCCATCCTAGTTACAAATACTACTGTAACATATCTTAAATTCAATCATCACATTTCAGAGAAGAAAATATTACCAGAGTTCCCATTTTAGCCATTTATTTCTTAATTGATCGATCATGCTCCTAAACCAAATATAGCCATTCAATTTAAGCTCACAATTATGATTCGGTTCGCGGTATTTATTATGATTAACCAATGCCTGAGACAACGGTACATATAAATTTAGTTGCCGATGAAAGTAGTGTAATATGAGGATTTCTATTTTAAGCGAGAAAGCAGAAGAGAATCAGAGGAGAAAATTGGTGTGAAAGAAGATGGTTTGGGGTATCCTTAGCATGTGCAATTGAGAGGATTATCCCTTAACCAAATTTCCCCAACCAAATATAAATTAGCGAGGGACCCTAAAATAGACTACACAGCAGATGATATAAATACAAAAACCATTTCGTTGCTAACTAGTTAAAACTCATCATAATCCACATTAATTAAACCCTCCTTTTATTTTTAATTTTTTTTTTTTTTTTAATTTCCCTCCGAACTAATTAAAGGGTAGTTTTGTAAGGTCGAGTTGTCTTTAAAATAATGTTGAAATGAGATATTCGATTATTAATTTTTTGGAAAATTTAAAAAAAAAAAAAAAAAAAAAAAAAAAAAAGGGACCAAAACCATTTAAGGGGATTGAGAGAGAAGTTTGAAAGAAGAAAACTCTACCTGCCTTCATTAACTCATCTTGAATTCACTTAAATGCAGAATTCAAGGATGGCCATTGAAACACCTTCACTTCCCTCAACATATTTCTTCATCACTCTCGCCACCGGCTTCCCTCTCTGTTAAATGCTCTCAACCCACCTCTGCTTTCCTTCATTTATGTTCTTCTCTCTCTCTCACTGTTTCAAAGTGTATGAGTTAATCACTTAACCTGATATGGGACTTACTGCCAGAATCTATGATTTTAGGTTTATCACTTATTACTAGAATCAATTCAATTTGGTTTTTATTAGTTTGGACTGGTAGGCGATTACATTCTGTTTCCTATCTTATAAACCAGTTCCATCTTCTACCTACAGTATTTTTGAGAGAAAAATTCTAAACGTGTTGATGATAAATGTTTAAGATCCAGTTTCTTTAGTCTAAATACATCATAACTGAATAAATTCAGGCAGATCACAATAACAATTAAATTCTTGGTCTGGCTAAATCAAATATAATAGTTTAGTTAATTGTTAACTCATCATACATTAATAAAATTACAAACTTCATATTTTTAATTAAATTTATAATAGTAATTTTTAAATAAATCACAATAATTTAAATTATTATATTAGTATTTTTTTAATTAAACTCTTAATTTCGAATTATCGAATAAATTAGATTATATATATATATATATATATATTGCGTAGTCTATGTTGAAGATGATAGAGCATAATTAGAGAGGGACAGGAGCTCTGATGTAAGATTGCATTGCATTATTACCGCACCTTTTGGCCCCATTAAGATTGCCATATGTTATGATAGGATGCCGTTTAAAACATTCCAAATCTAAAATTGTATGCTTAAAAATAACAAGTTGGTTAAATTATGATTAAACTTATTGAGTTGTGACGTCTGAAATATTGATCCGAAATCTTGTTTTCTTGATTAAATCTTAATCGTCGTGCTTCCCAACTAATAACAAGAAAATACCTACCAACATATATAACATATGCACATGAAAGAGATAAAATTGACATTAATCACACACAGAGAACGTAAGTAAATGCATAAATATATAGCATCTACTTATATACCATATGGTTGATGGATCAACAATCAACTGCAATATACATATATGTGTGTGTGTGTATTAATGGAATAATTAGATAGAAATTGTTTGATGATGAATAGGATGTGTGAGTAATATATGGTGGTCCAACTTAGGTACATTCTTGGTCATCGTACCTGGGTCGCAGGAAATGCACACACTTACTTACACTCATCTCTCCGTTGGTTGGTGACAGTTCTTAATTTTCTTATACATTTTGATTTTGCATATATATATATTCTTCAACTGCTTAATTACAATATGCATTCACTCAATTAATTAAGTGCCCAACCCCTGCGTGGTTTTTTTTTTTTTTTTTTTTTTTTTGAAGCATTAGTTTAATGTAATAGTTAATGGAATTACTGTCCGTAATAAAAATAGGAGGAGGAAACGTGAATAACAAAGTTAATGATGAGTCATTTATTAGGCATTCATAAATGGCCGTAGTTACTGTTTAAAATCGTAAATGCAATCCCAAGGACGCAGTAATGAATTAGAACCTTCCCCTCATCCATCAAGACATTAATATCCCATCCTATATACGTGTATACACATACACATTAACTACATAGGATCGGGGATTGCCATGTCATCACTCTTTCTGTGAGCTCCGTAGGACCTTTCAGTCTATATGTATCCCGCAGCGGTATGTATTTAAAGTCACTTGGTAGATTTTCAGTTTTAATTGGTAAAAAATGGAATGCAACAATTTATTTCGACTGGATATATATAATAATTGTGTATATGTGGTAAAGGTCCCAAACATATCATAATATGATCGAACGTATTGAAGCCTGTGTGTCGGTTCATTCACCGCTTGCTGCAACATGAAGAGATTGAACGCCCCGATCGCCCAGCAACGAAACACTATTAATGCTAATGAATAAGGGGACCTGCCAACTGGTACCTACATTTAATAAACTTACGCCATTCCCTGCTAATTTACGTTTACATCCTACCCCTCTATTACTTTTAAACATACATGAATACGTAGTCTAAAGTAGTATGTTCATGTTATTGAAGTTCAAGTTTTTATTATAATTCTAAAATATTTTCCTTTAAAAAAATTAATCTAATGATATGTTTCAAAAAATTATAAGTAGTTCTAATACTATAATTAGTTACGAAACTCAAATCAATTAAAAATAAAATATGTTAAGAAGTGTGATACTTAAAAAGTATGTTTCTTATTTTAAAGAAACGACTGATATTGTATTCATAATTTGTACTCTCAAGACAACAAATTATACTTTTTTTTTTAATTTTACATATCTTAATTCACGTAAAGTTAGGTATACATAGTAATCCGTTTAGTAAATTTTAGTCCAATTTTTTTAATAATTTTGTATACGATAACATCTATTTTCTCTTCATAATTGATTCATTTTATATAGTTCAAACTATTAGATAAAAGATCGATTTCTCTCAAATTGAATTTTATAATGTTAAATGTACATTACTTATATAAAATTTTTATAAAATAATAATTATCAACCAGCAGCTTAGATGAAATAATTATAAACTATGTAGGTTATAAAATTAGGGATTTAATTTGAATTTACTGGGTTATAAGTGTTTTTTTTTTTTTTTTTAATTTTTAAAATTAATTCAATCTTATTTTGTAATGTATTAAAGTTACTGTTACTTCTAATTTGATTTAATAAAAAAAATAAATATATAAAAAAAATATTAAACCATATGCCTTATTTATGCTCAGTTCATTGATACCGTTTAATACACAATGGATCAAGCTCACAAATTATGCTACACCATTGAAGTCCGCATCCAATTTCTTCTCCACTTGTAACTCATTTTTTCCCCTCTTTCAAAGTAAAACTTAATGATAACACATGCTTAATATAAGAGATATATATATATATTTGTTTGAGAATCATAATGCACATAATTATTAATATTCTTGCCATAGGTACTACTACTACGCATGGAACTCGTTTAAAGCCTAAGAAATGGAAGCTTGAAACAGATTCACGGATGTCAAAAGTCAGAGCCGTAAATCATCAGTCATCGAATATTTGGATTCGATACTTCAACACGCAATTCTATTGATCATACAACAGTCAACAATCTTTATGCTATTACACTTGATCAATTACATATGTAATACCTTAATATCTCCACCGTCCATATATTTACACGTACGTATACGTTGCATACATTTATTAAAAGTTATCTTAAATATTTCAAAGCAATAACTATGCACTCTTGAACAATCGATTCATTTGTTGGTCATGGTCCAATCTTAGATTCCTCAGAAACCTTTGGGTCAAATCTTTCACATTAATGATTTTTTTATATAAATCAAGGAAATTTCATGGTAATTATCGTCTAACTATATATATATATATATACATACGGGACATGTTTGGCTCTAGCTTAGAAAGTAATGCACATGGGTGTTAATTGCTTTTAAGAGTGTTTAATCATAGATAGTAAGCTCGATATAGATATCCAACCAATCTTATGAACAAAATTTAATTTAAACTACTTATTACAATCTCCTTGTGAAAATTAAACTATATTATTATAATATTTAATTTCATGAAAATGAGAGGTATGGGAGTTAGGTGTGAGAAAGTTGGGTTAGAGTTACTTACGATTTCTCTCGTCAAAATTAATTATTAGTAGTTGGGTAACCATCATTTTTAAGCTTGTCCATTTGTTTTCGGAAAATGAATTAATGTCGTATATATAGGATATATCATATATATATATATATATGGATAACTCGATTGATTAATTATAACCATACATCATGCACATATGTATGCATATATATATATATATATATATGTATATATGTGTATGAATTAGCCTAGCTCGCATTGTTATCAATGCTACAACACCCACTTCCTTCGGCCGCCATTTACAATATGACCTTGCTTTCATATTCATTATCTAATTGTGTCAGTCCATAAGATGTTTCATGATAATTGTTATGGTAATTGTCTATTCAATTTATATCCAAGGGAAATCAAGCACGTGTTTTCGCATTATAATTAAAAACAAACTGTGTTTGTAGATTTAAATTTTATTTTAACATGATATTCAAATAATTAGCTTTTTATTAATTGTAAATCATGCACATGTATCTTGGGAAGCAAATTACATAACTTAATGAAGAATTATTGTATATAAACCGCTACGTGTTACTTTATAAATTGTATTAGTAAATTTAAATTTTTTAAAAAATTATTGATAAACATGTGATTCAATATCAATATCTATATATATATATGTATACTCATTGCACATTTTTTTTTATACATATATAATTTATTCACGGTACACCTAATTTAATTGACATCCACCAGTTTAGGTCAACAGAAATTTGGTACCACTGTATTTGGATTTTTGAAGGAATTGCGTTTTTGACAGAGCCGAAATAGAGTGGTCCTAACCCTACATTGCTATTTTCCCTTGCTTTCTGCAAGAAATGCAGCCTTGTCAAAGTTTTTGAGGTAAATTAAAAGTAAAATAGGGTCTTAATGGCTTTTATTTTCTGCTAATTCTCTCATTTAATACATTGAAAAGTAAAGGGATTAGAAAAGTCACGCCCACTGTAATTTACATAAATATAGGACGCGTGCATATATAGAAAATGTATACAAATCATGTCCTCCCCATTAATAACCGAACATACCAAGCACAAGTACACGATAATTACGACAATCCAAATTTTCATTTAATAGGAAGTTTTTTGTTAAAATTTTATAATTTATACCTTAATTTTTATATTAATCAAATTATTAACCACATAATCAGGGTGGCTTTATATGATTTTTGGGAGGCTACCTGAATCATGAAAACTCTAACCTACACATTCATAAAGAGATGTGGAAATTCATACACCCTTTTAATAAAAATTTATACGTTTTTATAATTATGTAATACTTATAAATAATAACACGATCAATCTCTTAATTAAAAAGAAAAAAAAGACAATATGTATAATTTGACTCGAAATTTTATCATCTTAAAAAACTATAAAAGGGCTAACCATTTAATAACTAATAACATATTTTTTATTAGTGTTTTTCTTCTTATAAAAATAAATTTACAGTTGGTGTCAGAGTTTTAAAATTATAAAATTATTAAAAAATTAATCGCATATGTGCACCATCATATAGAGATAAAAATCGTATGTGTTAAGGAGTTATTATCAAATTAAACTCGAATTCTACCTCACCTTTCTGAAAATAAAACTTGAATATGATATGTTTGAATTATTATTAATTTTTTATTATGTTAAATTTATAAATTATCTTAATCAAATTTAATTTAATTATTTTAGTATATTAATAAAAATATATTTATATCATATTAAAAATATATTTGTTGATATACATGATATCATATAATAAATGTACACATATTTATGCTTATTAATATAACATATTATAATTTATAATAATAAATTATATATATATATATTGCAGTTCGGATTGGTTTTGGAAAACCGAGACTCGTCTCAGCCTGCCATCTTTTTCTTGTTAATCCGAATCCAATTTTACTCCAACCAGCATTTTAATGAAAAAAAAAAAAAAATCTTTTTTATCTTATTCTACTTGTTTAGTATTTTAATTAACGTTATTATTATTATTATATTTTTTAAAAAAATAAATCTTTTGTTCGGTGCCGAATCTGGTCTCAGACGGTGGGGCTAGAGTGAACCAAATGAGACTGGTTGGCTCAAATTTGTATAAACGAACCTGAGCCTCGAACATGTTGGCTCGGCCCAAGTCAAACCAAAATGTTTGATGGGCCACCTATTAAATAAATAAGCTCAGGATTCTTTTTCTCGTTTAAAAAAAGGGACTGTCCGCGTCCCCTCGTGTTCCCCCCTAAAAAAGGCCCTTGTCCATAAAACCATTCTACGCATTTATTCAGAAAACAGAAGCCAGAAAGAGAAGCAGATTGCAAATGTCGACGCTGAGAGTACCTGAATCTGTTCCCTCCGTAACCGAAGACTGTGAGCAGCTGAATAAGGCTTTTTCAGGTTTCTCCATTTTCACCTTTTGACTATTTTCATTTACATTACTTATTATATATGTATATATATTTTTTTGTTAGTTTCACTGAAAACTCTATTCAAGAAAGATGATCAATGTCGATCCACATTGATCATCTGGTCACAAAAGTCTATAGTTTTATAGAAATAGAAATAGAAATAGAAATAGAATATAATGTGTACTTGACTCGTTTAACCTACCTCGCATTATATTGCCTGATGATGATTCATCTGCATCGATATCTGAGCACTTATCGTCAATGCTTGAAGACAGACCGATTGCTCTTGGAGTAGTTGATTTTATTTTTTTTTTCTTTCACGAAAATTGAGGTCTTGTGTACTATGCTGACGGCCAATTGGCTTGTGTTCTCGTGATCCGATTGTATGTGTTAAATATTGATTTCATATGGCACTAGGAGGTAGCTGCATTTTCTGGCTGTCTAATCTTAATTTCACTCCGCATCAACTTTCATCTGTTAATTATGGCTTCCGGGGAAAAAAAATATTTTAAATCTTGTGGTTATAGGACTGCCTTTTTCTTTTTGCGAGCTCACAGAATTTCAATTCCAAAATCACAATTAAACTGTAGATGTCTTTGTACTCTTTTAAGGCATATTATACAATATAGTAACATACAAGTTTTAGATTGGTTAATTGATCTGGACTGGAGGAGGATAATAAGTTTCTGCAATACAAAAGAGTCTTTTGTTGCTGAGAGAGTGTTTTTCTGAATTTTATGCAAAGCTGGTATTCCAGTAAGGTTGCAACAGTTCGGCGTAAAAAATTGTGCTTTCCTGCCACTTTTTGTTTTGTCTCGCTCGAGCCTTGTTATAGTTGGTTGTTGTTGTGCCTGAGGAAACCGGACTCGACAACCACAAAATATGTATGCTATTAGGGCTGCAACTCCATTCCTTTGTGTTTCAAGTCAAAACCTTAGAAGTTCTTGGTTTTGTTACTTTATGTTCACATATTTTGATTGGGATGTTACTTGTGCTGAAACTCTCTCATATTTTAGTTGTCAAGCCATTTAATGATAATAGTGCAGGATGGGGAACCAATGAAGGTCCGATCATATCCATATTGGCTCACATAAATCCTAATCAATGCAAACTGATTTGCCAAACATATGCTGAAACTTATGGAGAAGATCTCCTCAAAGCACTAGATAAGGAACTCACTAATGACTTTGAGGTTCATTTCCAAATTCGCTGTATTTTTTAATACTGATAAGCTGGCAGTATGTCCATGAAAAGGAAGAATAGAGCTTATGTCGATTATCACTGCTTTCCTTCATGGTTATTAGGTGGACTAGTTATACGTTAGTACCCTAGTTATATATGTGGCTTATTCAGATTATTGAGATTTAATATTTAAATTTGTGGGGAATAAACAATAATTATTTAGAGGCTGATTACCAAAAATGTATTACCAACAGAGGCTGGTTCTGCTTTGGACTCTTCGACCTGCTGAACGTGATGCCTTTTTGGCTAATGAGGCAAGAAAAAGGTGGACTTAAAGTAATCAGGTTCTGATGGAAATGGCCTGCTCAAGGTCTTCAAATCAGCTACTCCAGGCAGGGCAGGCATATCATGCTCGTTTTAAGAGGTCTCTTGAAGAAGATGTTGCATATCATACAAAAGAGAATTTCCGAAAGGTAGAGCTTCTAGACTTTAGCACTTGAACAGGATATTGCTGAAGGTATGAAGATGGTTATTCAGAATTACGTATTATAAATAAGCAATGGTCATCCATAATCAGTTTCGTCATGATCATGTGTGGTTGTTTCTTCCTATAATAAACTATATGTTTGAGAAGGAGCAATAACCTTAATGTGTTTTTTTTCTCTTTAAGAGCTTGAATTAAAATTATTTTAACCTATAGACCTTCAGCTTGGATCCTTTCTTTTCGCTACAAGTTCAATGTCCCAATTTGCTTATTTGTTGTGGGTTGAGGAGACCACAAAAGCTGATTCCTATCATATGCTGCCTCTTCTCATGTATCTGTGCCTTACAGCTTTTGGTACCTCTTGTGAGCTCATATCGCTATGAAGGAGATGAAGTGAACATGACTCTGGCATAATCAGAGGCAAAGAAAATCCACCAGAAGATTTCAGAGAAGGCTTATGATTCTGACGACTTAGTTAGGATTTTAGCTACAAGGAGCAAAGTGCAGATCATTGCAACCTTAAACCGCTACAAGAAAGAATTTGGTAATGATGTCAACAAGGTCTACAACTGGGGTTAGTGATTACTGTTTTCTGATTCTTCAAGAATGATTTTTGTTTTCTGTCAGCATTTCTTCAAAGGCGGCTTTCTTTCTTGATCATCGTGGACTTGGGTAAACAGAAAATTTACTCATATGTTCTGGGTGGAGAACCTGCAGTGTATCCAGCTCCTTCGGAGGCTTACTGGTGCAGAACAAAGAGAGCTTGAACAAAATGTTTATTTTTCTTTGTTGATTTTTGCATCACTTGTCTTGAATTATGACTTTAGTTGACTTGGAGGACCTTAAGACTGATCCCAATGAAGAGTTCCTTGCCTTGTTGATGGCAACAGTAAAGTGCCTGACTCGTCCTGAGAAGTACTTTGAGAAGGTTCTTCGTCTGGCAATTAACAGGCAAGGAACTGATGAAGGAGCTCTTACGAGAGTTGTGGCCACAAGAGCTGAGGTCGACATGAAACTTATAACCGAGGAGTACCAGCAAAGAAGCAGTGTTCCTCTTGATCGTGCTATCACCAAAGACACCCATGGAGACTATGAAAAGATGCTTCTTGAACTGATAGTACATGATGATGCCTGAGTTGTTGGACTTACCTCATTTCTATAAATAATGTCCAAGCTACCTTGTCCGATGGTTTTCATCTTGCAAAAAAATTTAGCCTCTATGGTAGCCTTTTGTTTTGAGATTCTATGCTTTGTATGTCTCGGGGAACTTGGCTCTGAGTTATTAGTGACAAATAAGCACCTTTCGGTTTTTTAGATTTACCCAATTTGCGTTTCCTGCTGCCATTTTAGTATCATACCTCATCTATAGGTTGCACTTCGCAACTTTTAGTACTATTTTTTTGTCTGTTTGTAAATCCACAATTTTAATATTCTGTTATCACTATTGCTGTTCTTGTAAAAGTGCAATGATGGTCCTACTTTGTTAGGCAATGAGGTAAGTAAACAAATTAGAAGATCTTTTACTCCTTTTTTATGAAATATCACTTTTATTTCAGATAATTATATCAATTAATTCAGTTAAAATCTACCTGCTTTTTTTTTTTTACTTGGATCTAATCCTACTGTTTTTTTTTTTTTTTAATCTGGGAAGTCAACAACAGAATGAGAACTCACTCTGTCTTGTCCATAATCCAAGAGAAAAAGAGAGAAATTTATACCATGCTTTAAAATGACCAAAGCAAAAACCTGACAGTTACAATCAGTGTGAAATTCATATATCAATACATCAATAAAAAGACAACAAGACAACAAAATAATATAGGCCAATTTTACTTGAACCAAAACTCAACTCGCTTCTATGCTTTCCTCACCAATCAAATTCCTAGTAATTTCTATATCTGGCCTGCGATTATATAAGACTGATAAGTGAACAAACCTAGAACCTGACTTACCTAAGGAAGAACAACGACATCCTCATAAACATACATTACTTCTTCAAGAGGGAGAAAATCCTCCTGCAATATGGACTGCTGCGTAACATCGTGAGATCAGACTGCTTCAACCATCTTGAACCATGAAGATACCCCTGCTCAACACACAAACAATTATCATAGTACAAAAGAACTGGGGAAACAGTGATAGATTTTCTCCTCTAGACAAATTTGGAAAACAAAACCATTAAAGCGTGATAGGTTTTCTACTCTGCAAACCTTAGTAACAGCTAGAGCAGATTGAATGACATAGTTGGCAAATGGATCTTGCAACAAATCCTCAAAACGAGGCACTAAGAGCAATTCACGGATAATCTGTGCCCGACTTTCATCAACATGCGTGAGACATTTTTCAACCACATGGCTGCTAAATTTCTGCATGGAGAGGTGCACATAGTTGCCCTTAAACCGAGAGAGCAAGTTGGCGGCTGCACCAGGAATCTTTAGCTCTATGACATACTGAATAACATAATTTCTGCGTCAAAAAAAGAACAAGATATCAGATTGTTAGATGAACCTGAAGCAGATAATACGATATCTATAATGACTAATAAGGACACCAATGTAAAGGACCAAATCATTAGGCAGGAAGTGGAGAGAGTTTTTTATGCTGACAAGTTAAAAAAATAGTTGAGAACTAGGAGCAATAAAGCCAAACGGAAAATGGACTTAAAGCATAAGTGTAAGTTGTGATGATCAAATCGACATAACTCAACCTAGAGTTGTACTAAAGTTCCAACTTTTCTCCAAGAAAACATGACCAATAGCCATACTTGAGAGGGTAGTACAGGAAACACAATTTTATTGAGAAGACGGAGCATGAACATGGAACTTAAAGAATGAACAACTGAGGATGTCAATACATGCTTTTAGAAAATCCACAAGAAAAATAGATTTCGACCCAACTAACATGCTGCATTATATGCAAGAACCCATAACATATATCATTCACAGCAGCAAATATTATGATTACTACAGAAAGAGAAGAAATGTCAAAAGATATTGAACTAATAGTAGCAATGAACCATTCTGTAAATCTAGTTATTGTATCAAATGAATTCACCATTGTGGTAAAATTAAACAGTTTTGTTATTGAGTTGTCAATCAAGGATTCAGATCACTGTTACCAATAAATTTTAACATTAAAAGAATTGTAGAAATTCAAGAAGCAGCTACTTATTACAAGCCTATAGAATGTTATGCTGAATAGGAAGATTTTAAAGTGGATCCGATGCAAAACAAACAAAAGAAAATAAATGAATAGGAAGGTTTAATTTCTTTTTTCTAGTTCCGGAAAGTTTTATAATAAAGAAAAAATTGAAGATTTATTTTTATTTTTCAGAGTATTCTCATAATTCTTTCTACTTTACTTATTTCTTACTTTCTATATTTCTTATTTCAATTGTATTTTGTTGCTTATAAATAAGGTACGCAATTTAATTCTATATAAACTATTCATGATTGTTGTTCAAATATTGAAATATTATTTTAATTATAGAAATCCAAGATTTCCAAAATTTAGTTCTTCTTCAAGCTTTCTTGTCCTACATCAGGAAATGCTTATAGAAGATGGTATGGATCAACCATACCATTCAGCAAACTACCAACAAGAAAACTCAAGTACAATCGCTTGGAATCTCACATTTGTAGCATTTGCACAGTCAATACAGGATCAAAAAAGAAACAAATAATTTGAGGGTGCAGGCAGAAGAGGAAACCATACTGAACAAAACACTTTTGATGATTACCCGTAAGGATCTTGTGCAAGAAGAAGGGCATTTCTGGAAATTTCTGTGATTAGCTCATCTCGCTGATGCAAAGTGGAATGAGCTATGCACCGTTGCAGTACACAACATCCATGTCGATGGGTTGCTATATTAACACATGACTTTGTGGCAGCATTGAAAATAAACTGTAACAGGTGACAGAATAAGCTAACCAAGAGTCTCTATCTGTTCTTTTTTTAAGCAATTATATATAGATGTATGTACTAACGAAATTTTGACTCGGCAAATAACATGAAAGTTCTTAGAAATTTCAGACACTTGCTAAAAGAGCATTATTCATCCAATGATGATAGGTTCAGGTTAGCATGTCTTCATTATTTCTCTAGTGAAAGGGGAGAACTCGATTATCCAGCCATTCTTAAGGTACGTTAAGAGAAGTATTGTTGGTTATTAGTTTTGATTTTAGAATGGCATTTTAACCCTCCAAAATCAGAAGTTAGCTGACAAACTAAATAGAACATCCCCTTATTGATTAAGTAGCACGATTATGTGAGTAAAAGACTCTGCTATAACAAATACCAAATCAACAAAATCTGATATAACGACACAATCCGGGATCGTCTAGATTATAGAAAGCAAAAATGGAAAATACCTCATTATCTTCCATGCTAAGAAATTGCAGACAACGCTGTATCACATGATTTCCATTCAGATCCTTGACGAGATCCAGAAAACCAGGTTCAAGAGCGGATTTAACTAATGAAATTTGCTCCCTGGTTCTGATGGTTTTAATCAATTTCTGTACCACGCGAGTGCTAGCAACCCAAAAACAAATCTCATTTAGAAATAACAAATGCTTGCAAATGATATCATACTTCACCAATTCTAGAAAAATTATTAAGCCACATGTAGAGAAAGGTACCCATATGTGTTCAAAGAAACTCTGACAAGGCATCCTGGTTCTTTGGTCACCATGAGCAGAATCTGCATTTTTTGTTCTTCACTGCACACATCCAACAACTTCTGCACAAGATAATTGCCAAATGGATCGACCATAAGTTCTGCAATGTGATCAATAATCTCACTATATATTATCACCACATTTGAAAAACTTCCTTCCTCAACGATCCTCTGTAGTAAACGGCAGCCATTCTGGTGTTTCGCCATGAAATACACAGAACCTTGGACTTTGGTCATGGAAGGTTGAGCTGGTAGGAACTGAATATTCCCATAAGTAATCGAGTTCCACCCAGTTTCGGATACTCCGTGATTGATAAGATTATGTAACTTAGAGCTTTCCTCCTGTGTATTACACATTACAGTCCTGCTGGGGAAATTTTTCTTCTGACTCTTTGAAGGATCATGAACTCCACTGACTGCATATTTCAAGTCTTTTCCTTGTATGATTAAACTATCCTCATAACTAAAACCATCTATATCCCCTGAACTTCTTAGAGATGCAAGAGATGTAGGAAACCTATTCTTTGGTTTCACAAAAGTGCTCTCATTCAACGATGAATTCATCAACAACGCCAGATCGGGGTGCATTGAGTCAGGAAAAGTCAAACGACCAGTGACCCCTCCGTCTCCAATATTGTGGACAAAGGTATCAGCAGACCAGGGCTTGTAAACACTAGGCCAAAGACCATTTGGGTCTACGCCATTGCACAGATTATTTTTATCAGCATAACAGGACACATTCCCATTGACACCCGAAGAACCATCAGTAAACCCAGGCCAAAGACCATTTGTATCTACGCCAAATCGCCTGGTTTGGTCAGTACCATGCTCTTCATCTCTAATATGCAGTCTATCTAGATATCCGCATAAACTGAGATGACGTACCAACTTTTCAGTATTGATGTTCTTCCGACAACGAGAATCAGGTGACTTGGAGCTGTACCATCGTCCATTAAGATAATGGTTAATTGGCGGTTGATATCTTGTCTCCTCAAATGGACATGAAAATGGTGATCCGTCAGCAGATATGCAGAAGCCATTAGAGAAAGAACTTGCAGAACAGCACTGTGACCGCGGAGATTTTCCGCCCGAAGAAGAGTCACCAATCACCAACTCATTATGACGAAGATTGAGACATGGGATTTGAGGGATATCAGGGGACAGAGTCTCCAGCTCTCCATACCTTCTCATGTTCTCTATAATCTTCTATTTCTTCTCTTTCTCAGCTACTTTAAACATATCCGACGCGAAAAGACAAATATATATTATATATAGCAAAACAAGAATTTCAGTAAATACTTCAAAAGGATATTCAAAAACCTACAACGCACGTCAGATTTCTACAAGGAAGCCAAAAGCATTTAAAATTTACGAGCATCGAACGACTGCATGCACTTTATCATGGTTTCATATGGCATAGGAAATGAGAAATATAACACCGAGAACAAACAAATTTTATACACGTACTATATCGAGTGATATTACGCTGGCTGCCTTTCGCGAGATGAATTGAAGATGGAGAACGAGAGAGAGAGAGAGAGAGAGAGCGATGATTTTGTCTTTGACGGTTACATAATAAAAAAATTGGGCGTACGGTATGTTGTCGTTGAAGCTCACACCATTACAATGAAGTTGTGGCGGCACGGCGCAGTCTCGCACAGGAAAGGCAGAGAGTGACAGACTCTCTGGCTGCTGTACTCTCTGTCCGACAGTCGGCCATTGCCAAGTTTTTTATATTTTTATATATAATATATAATATTTTATATTCTCTGAAACAGAATGCTAACCTCCAGAGGAGAGAAAAACTGCTTGATTTTCTGATTTAGAGTTGATCGGTCTTCAATTTGACTTGTTTGACATGTAACTCCTATTAAGAATTTTTTTAATCCACCGGATCCATTTGGGATCGAGAATTCGAGATGAAGCTCCCAAAAATAGGAGAAACCAGATTAATAGCCGTAGGTTATGGTAAATTTAAGCTCATAATGTTGATCCTTTGTTTCTTTTTCACGAATTCAATGTCAGTATTTAAGGACTCGCATTCATGATTAATGCAGTTACCCCCAACTCACAGGAATACTTCCTAATATTTTTGTAACGAAAGATATGATATTTCTTACTTGGAGACTTAATGCAGTGGCCATGTGCCTGTGCAATAAGCGCGTTATAAGTAGAGCCGAGCCAACTGCTAAGCCACCTGATAGAATTGAAGTTTTTCCTCAAAGTGGGCAGAATGGGACCATGAATGCTTGACGCGCAAGATACAGTCTCTAGCTGTCCACTGCTTTCTGGTTAGTTTCAAGTGCGTTTTCCACTTAACGAAATAGCCAGAATTTTGCAGGTGCCTACCTGTTGGATCATTTTATGGACTATGATGGCAGACTCCTCAATATTGGATTAGCTTGTTTTGTAATGGTGGAACAAAGCAACACCGACCCCCAATCCAATAAACCCACTACATGTACAAGCGAATTCATACAAATAAAAAATGTGTTGAATCACCATTTCGGATTGAAATTTTTAACAACCGATTTAAATAAAATATAATATATATATATATATATATCTTCCTGACATTTCAAAATATCAACTGATCAAAATGCTCCATAATTAGGGTATGCTTGGTTAGTTTCTTTTACTGGCTTAGATGAGACGTGCAAGTAATAACAGAAAATAAATGCAATCCTCATCAACAATAATAATTAACACTTGTTGTCTAAAGACTCACTGAACATCATAAAATTATGGATATACAAACACAAATTAGCAAAAAAGTTCCAAGCTTTTGATTGATATGTTAAAAACCTAGAACATAATTCCCAAAAACCCACAATGCAAGGTCAAATAACATATAATCGCACCTCCACTAGGAATATAACACAAAACCAGACACCAGGTAACAAAATAAACAGAGTTAGATCTAAGTTGTTAAACCAGTGCAATGCTGCTCTCCCCGCCTGGGGGCTTGCGCACACCACCTAGGTAGTCTCGGGACTCAACCTTCCCATCAGCAAATATGTCACTTCCACTCATCTCCTGGAGCTTTGCCCTGCTTAGTGGCTTCTCAGCAGATGTTGCTGGAACATCGCCCTTGAATATATTATTTCCCGAAAGCTCAGCAAATTTCTGATTATAAATTTTCTTAGCTGTCTTCATCCCAGGTTCATTGGTGCTTTGTCCTCCTGTAGCCTATAAAATTCAATCCAACACAAAATATCTAGTTAGAATTTTAAAAAAAAAATCATTGAACATTCATTGACAATGGAGCATATAGATAAAAGATACACATTCATTGTGGTGAATGTAAGGTACAGTGGTTGGTCAATGGCTGGCTACACATCAAACCACAAAAAGTAAAATCAAAACATGAAAAGAGTATTCGAAATGTCAACACTAGCTATGCTGGCCCTGCAATTCGACTACCCAACCATCAAAACCAACTTATCCATTAACATTCAATCTAAGTATGGCAGATTAATGGCTACAATTGAACCACAGAAGTAAAATCAAATTATGGAAAGAGTATCCAAAATGTCAAAACAATTCGATTTCGCTACTATCAAAACCAACTTATCCATTGACAGTAGGTAAGACTCAGTACCCCAGCACAACCAGATCTGTTTCCTAACTATCCATAAAAAAAAAAAAAAAAAATTATTGCAAACAAAAGAGGTTCATAAACTTCCTTGCAAGCCAGCATGTTTTTTTCTACATACAGCAAACACACAATTAACCTTGCCTCACAGGAGTTTGAAAGATGTGCTTACCTCGCTTGTGGCAGGTTCTCCCATGTCAAAATTGTCTCTTAAGGCCAATGCTCGAACAGCTGGCCGTGGTACTATTTCGGGTGGAGGAGCAAAGATGTCATGTCCGCTGAGCTCCTTGCATTTCGCATCAGAAAGCTGCTTCTTCAACTTTGCCTCTGCCTCACTCTCCAAGGTCCCACTAAGTTCACGCTGCTTTGCCACCTCAGGCAATGAGGTAGGCTTTTTCAAAGAAACACTCTCTTCCTCCCCAAATGAGATATGACTGATTCCAGCAAGCGCTTGCTGCATGCCAAACATAAGGATAGATAAAACTTAGTCACCAGATTAGGAATCATTTGACACCAAGCATTGAAATGGCATATAAGAATATGTGCAAACGATGAGATTCAAATCCCCAAAGCTCCAACAGATACCTGGTATATACGAACTCCTGTCCTGCTATTTGGAGTAGGATTGGCACTACCAGACTCCAAAGCATCCTCTTCTTCGTTTGCTGAAAAAATGCCACTACCAGTCATCTCCTTTATTTTATATCCTGAACAAGGTTTCCTGGAAATCGCAGAGTTAACCATCCCAAGAGCTTTAGGGGTAAAAAGTGCACAAATAAGTGGTAGTCATCAAGAAATGCAAAATGATCCAACAAGGGGATCAAAATTTGCGAGTCCAGACTAAATTTGAAACTTTGTTAATATGTTCTATTGCCACTCATCTTCTTCATTTTTCCTTTTAAAGAGAATAGGAGATTAAAAAAAAAAGAAATAATTGCTCCACCATGTTGCAATAGAGACTGAGAAAATGGCCATATTACCTTCGGCTATTAGATTGGCTAAATTCTACCAGACGGATCTATTTAAAACGGGAGGAGGCTGCATTCAAACGTTCGCTTTTCAATATCAATAGAAAAATTCTTGGTCACTTGGTTCCTATAAAATTACCATAAGTAACAATTCCAAATGCTATAACCAAGTTACAGGAACTTAGACTCAGCGACTTGACTTGGTCACTTGGTTCCTATAAAATTACCGTAAAGTAACAATTCCAAATGCTATTACCAAGTTACAGGAACTTAGACTCAGCGACTTGACTTGGCTCCAAGTCAACTGAGACAAGAAACCATTTTCAGAACTGTAAATCGCAGGTCATGATTCTTTTCCATATAAAATGTGATCACAAGCACACAGGACAGATCGATTAAGCAGAACAATTAAAAAGAGCGTTCAAATTTTTGAAGTTTCGAGACAAGAAACTATTTTCAGAACTGTAAATGGCATGCGAGGGAGAGAGCGTGCAACGGCATAAAAAGAAATGTATTTATCAGAGGACGGAAAAAATCGTAAATATCGCACAAAATGCACGACGACAAAAAAGAAGAAAAAAAACAGCCAGCTCCACGTAGGAGAGCATTTATTACTATTTTTAATATTTTCCGACTGAAGAAAAAAGAAAGCCGACGCACTCTTACGACTCAAACCACAAACCAAGAAAAATCTAAAATCCTTAGAGAAAATTAATCAAAATTTTCGGAAAGCACCAAATGAAGCAGATCTCACCTTTTGTTTAAGCTCTCAGTCTCCTCATCTGTCACTTGACCTCCGAACACCACCTTTCGGATGCCATCAGACGGCTAAAGTAATTTTCCGTAAAACAAAAATTAAGCCATTAGAGATCAATAAAAGGATAATTGAATCACTGTAAAACAAAATGAAACAGAAAGAGTGAAGAAAACAAATAAAAAGTTGTACCTGATGAGAACGAACGGCGGAGCGAGAAGCAGCGGAACCCAGGGCAGGGGAATCTGCAGGCGGATTCTCGGACCACGTAAGCAGATCTGCGGTCGATGCGTGTGGTTTCCTGACGGGAGTGCTTCTATCCATTTTCTTCCCTTATTAAATTCTGCTAAATTACTCTTCCCGTTCAGTCTACTCTCTCAAAGTCTCTCGCCGAGAATCAAATGTTCAAGTGCTGTAGAGGGAGAAAGGTTCCTCTCTTCTTACTCTTCCTCCTGCGAACAGATGCAAAAGCACTGTTTTCTGTGTAACAGCTTTGGCCCTTTGTTGGATGGATGGATCTGGAGAAAATGACGATGGTGTCCTCGCTCGACCTCTGGAAGCTTCTGTTGCTTAGCTTGTGTTTTTGATAATGGATGCTTTGCTTTTGGGAGGAGACTTTTTAAAGGGATTATGAGTAGTAGCTACTCTTACTCTTCTTCTGTTTTAAAACGAAGGAAAATAAATATGTGGAGAAGAAATATATATATATATATATATATATATATATATATATATAAGCGTCGGCTTTCTCTCTACACACCCAATTTTTGAATCTTGTACTGCACATGAGATGAGAGCTCTCTCTCTGTTCTTTTTTTTCTTTTCTTTTTTTTTTTCTAATTTTTAATTTTCCTTCTCTCCCTCTTTTTAATGCGGAGCATGTGCATTTGAATCAACTGCCAACTGCCGGTCACAGTCGTCATCCTATCTACTCTAGCCGGTTTCTCTAAACTAATGAAAATTGTTAGTGGAGTAATAATTTACCGTTGTCTAAACTTTAATTTTGTTTGTGCTAAAAAATAGGTCTCAATTGAAATCCAATTAAAGGCCGTCAATAAATTGGGTGTCTAATTTCAAAATAAGTAAAAAAAAAAAAAAAAGCGAATTGCAAAAAGGGGGGAAGTAGATTACTCTGGCGAAACTCTCGTTGGTTTGGCGTCATGGTTGAATTGGCAATCGGTAGTTTCTACATTTGTCGCAAGTCACAAGCTGTGTAAGCTCGCTCTCGTGAGGTTCACAGTAAGTCAAAAGTTATTTTCTACTCCTTTAAAAAGAAAATCCATTAACCATGAAAACAATCAAAGAATTATAGAATGTGATTATTTTACCACTTGAAACGACATCATTTTTGTGGACCAGAGATGAAAAAAGTTCACACGTGCGATTAAGTGAATGAGACGACTCCATTCCCGTAGCTGAACACACAATTTTTAGTCACGGTAAATTTATTATATATATGTATGTACACGTCAACTTCAAATTTCGAGAAAAACAAAAATAATAATTGGAGCGGAGAAAAGAGTGGTAACGAAGAGGGGCATTTTTGTCATTGAATTATGGTATTTAGCTAGCCGTTATAACTTGTGCGGTTTATATAATACGGCGTTTGACGTAACCAGCTATCCGTTACAGGAAAAAAAAAAAAAAAGATGTCCGTTAGTTTTCCATCAAAAAAAGGTATGGTTGGTTTTTGGTGAAGATTAATCTTTCAAAAAACGAATCATCGAGTCATTTGCGCCGAGCACACGAAACGGGATTTTAAAATTTTAAATTTCATATGCTAATTTACTAAAAACTCCCCTTCAAAACTACAAAACTACCAAAAACCATTTCTACCTGTTTGAAATTTCCCCCCCTAATTTTCAAACTTATTATAATGGAAATGGTTTTTCTCGGATAATTAAGTCATTACAGTTTTTAAGACATAAAATTTTAGAGAACACAGAAGATACAAATGTTTTTGTTTCTAATAAAAAGTTCAGGGACCTAGATAATGCTACTATTTTCCAATGACATTCTCATTATAAAATTGTAGTATATTTGGAATAGTATGAGATGTTATGGCATTATATATATATATATATTTTATATTGAAATTTAGCAACATGGTAGTAGATTATTGTTTTGATTGATTGTTATATTTTATGGACCAAATTTAAAATTTGTGATACTAAATGATCGAAATGAAATAACGATGGCATTTGTGTTATTAACTTCATTTGATGTAGTTTTGCTATCTAAATATTTCAATTTTATTAATATCAATTTAACATTTTAAAAAATCAAATAGAATTTTCTTTCGTTTTAAAAAAGAAAATAAGAATAAAGGCACCAAAATGGTAAATATTTACTATACTATAGTTAGAGTTTATTTATGTATTTCTAAATACTAATTTGTTTTGATAAGAAAAAAAAACAGTTATTTTTGTTAATTATATATATATATATATTCTTTATTTCATTATTTAAAAAACTTTATTTTTTATGTTTATTATGATATTTATATTTTAAAATAGATAAATATAAAAAATACTTACTAATTTGACTTTTAACTCGAATATTATATCAAACTATTTACTCAAATATATATCTGTAAGAGAATAACATAATAGAAAAATAAAATTAACTCACTAATTATAATATAGACTTAAAATAATTTAATATTTTTAATGAAAATTCACATACTTACTTTTTTAACATGAGATATATACACATTAATAATAACATCATATTTTTATATAATTTTATAATGATAACACATTAAACATACATAAATCATAGCTTGAATCTACAATTTCATGTAAAGTGATGAAATTACTAATTATCCAGCAAATAAATAATTGCTTAAAATAATTTAATATTTAATGATAATTATTGATAATGATGATTTGAGAATCAAATATATTAAAATATAATTTGTTTAATAATAATAAATGTCTTAAAAAATTAATAGTGAATCATATTAAAAAAGTACTTATAGCATTTTTTTCTATAAATAATTCAAAATACTTTTGTTCAAAGTTAGAGATATATAAATGTATTGAGATTTTAATTGTGAGTCAACTAATTGCATTTAAAAAAAATTACTTATTTTGAAAAATACTTGTAACTAGTCACACAGAGAAATGTATAAAATATACAAAATCAATTATAATACTAAAATGTATTATAATTTGCAGCCTAATGCAAACTCGGAATCATCAATGAAAATGCATGGATCTCATCATTACGAAATTTTTAAAAATGAATTTGCATTTATAAAAACTTTAAAATAATTAGAAGTAACGAAAAGTAAATTAGTGTATAAAATAATTATGTAGGGCCCACAATAAATAATAAATTGAATAAATTGAAAATAATGACAGTCCATATAAAATAATTGAAATGATATAATATTTTTGTTGTAAATTTAACATAACGTAAATATTGTTTTTTATCCCATTTAAATAACAATAATTAAATATTAATTTATATTTAATTTTTTATTTTCAAATATAAGCTTACAATAATTTTTTTAGTACCGATATAATTATTATTTTGATTAAGTTAAATTTTTTAATTATTGTAATTTTATTAATATACTAATAAATTGTGTATTTAATTATGCTGAATCAAATATTACGAATCATTTATTGTCAACTTATAATACACATATAATACTAATAAATTAAGTATTTAAGTATATTGAATTATATATATATATAAAGTGATTAAGTAAATTCATAACACATTTATAAAGAGATATTAAATATTGGATCAAGTTAAATCAAATATTATTAATTAATTATTGTTAACTCATAATATATCAAATAATATTAATAAATTAAAATTTAACAATGATAAATAAAATATTATCAATTTATAATATATTTATAAAAAAATGAATTTTATATTTTTAATAACATTTAATTTTATAATATTTAAATAAAACGTAATATATTTTAACTATATTATAAAAAAATTAGTAAATTAAGTTAGACATAGAAAGAAATAAAGAAATGGAGAATCTTTTTCTTGAAGAAGCCATAACGTCATGTTTCCTAGGTTTTATGATTTATATATATATTATCTTCCATCCATTTAATAATATAATATAATATAATATAATATATTGTTAGTGTGGCGGTTGAATCCCATTCCCTAAATTCCTTAAAAGAAACAAGGATCTTTATAATGGACACAACAAGTCGTGCATTAACGAAACATCATTATTATGTACATAAATAAACTTAATAAAAAATTAATGCACTTCATGTGACAAAAAATTCCACTAGGCCTGTGTTTTGCTTATTAATTGTGAAAATTTTGTTAGAGAAAAAAAGATAGAGAAGAAGTTATCTTATGGTAATTACTGAGAAATGATCAGAGCTATTCACCTACTTGAATCTTTTAACCATGAGTAGTCTTAAAATATATTTTTTATTCAATCATATTTAAATTTTTTAAAACTTATTAAAAAAAAAAATTAACCGCATTTTTTATAATTATTTATTTCAAACGTCATATTTTAATGATATTTTTTAAAATAAAAAACCCCCCATCCATTTAGTTTGATTTAATTTAATTATTTGCTTTTTTCTAAAAAATTATTTAATTTATTATAATATTGTCAACCATTACCGGAGTTCTTAAGGGGAAAAAAAAAAGTGAAACATATAGATGTGTCGGCAGGGAGGAAAGTTGGGTTTCAGTTTTAATAATCCAAAACGGAGCAATCAGCCGACGGAACCACTTGTCATGTTCAATAGATTCAATAGCCCGTGTCAAATGATTAATTCAAGATTTGAGCTAAAAAAAAAATCAAGAGATCTTAAATTCTAAAAGTTCCAAATAAAATAAAATATTTTATTACTAATTTTTTCTTCAAATATATTAAACTTTTTAAATCAAAACAGACTATTCTCAATCACGGTGATTATATCCCGATTCCTCCTATTCAAGCACATTCGGAAAGAAGTAAAAGGATTTACACGCCCACCGTGGGGCTCGAACCCACGACCACAAGGTTAAGAGCCTTGCGCTCTACCGGCTGAGCTAGACGGGCTCCTTGTCTATTCCGCTATACAAAATACTACTCAATTTTATTTTCTCGAAAATTAAAACGATTTTGTAATTGTTCAGTTGGATAACTTTCCATAAACTTCTAGTTCCAAATGCGCTCTCGCGTCCCTCTCCCATTCACAATTTCGTGGTTCAGAGTTCGATAGAATGGCCTCAGTTTTTACCAGTAACTTTGCATCTATATTCTTCCTCTGTCAACGCAGGAAGA